CCCCCCCCCCCCCCCAAAAAAAAGTCATAATTCAATTCTTGTTGGTTTTGTTTTTAATAGAAATCTCTAAAGAAATAATACGTTAAGCCTACTCGTCTTGGAACTATAATACAGTATTGGTTTATTATGAACCGGCTGAATTCTTGTTTGTTTGTTTTTTTACATTGAATATTGTGAAATTCTGTGGTTTTCGCATACTCCATTTTCGTCCATAGAATACCAAAGTAGAATTTAGTTATCATACAATAAAACCCGACTTTTCCTCCAACTCGATGTCTCTTACTTTTTGTTCACTTCTAAGTTATCTCTATAATTATTTTGAGGCAGAAGTAACATAGATTTTTTTTTATGAGTTAACTACTCTCTATGGAAATTATTTCATCTTTATTTGTGTTATTATTCTCAAACTAAAAACGATTACGGTATTGTGGGAGAAAACTTATCAAAATGTGTGTTTCTTTGTTCTTAAGCGCAAAGATATGAAATGGGCTATGTCTGCTGTGCCCACCCCCGGGTATGAAACCCAGTTTTTAGCGTCGTAAGCTTGCAGACTTACTTAGCCAAAACAGACTCACTAAAAGATCTCCTTCACCTTAAAAATTACCGAAGGGGTTCATACCCCCCTTTGATTTTTAAAGAACCTTTTTCGAAATTATTTTTTTTCAACAACTTGTTTGTGGATTCATGATTTTGTGTGTTGCTGGGGACCCTCAGAACATATGAGTCACACAGAGAAACTTAAACAAAAGTAACAAATGTATTCCAGTTAATCCCCCCTAATAACTACTGTGGGGGTCAGTTGGTTTGTGTGTTTGTTTGAAGTTGAGCACAAAGCTACACAATGGGCTATCTGTGCTCTGACCACCACGGGTATCTAAACCCGGTTTCTAGCGATATAAGTCCGCAGACATATCGCTGTGCCACTGGGGGAGGGGGCAGGGGTCAGTTTGGTTAATCTGAGTTTTAACAGGTAAAAACATAAAATTACTATTTATGTTGTAATATACGGACCCCACCGGTAGTGAACAGTTTAAAAACAAGTCAATAATTTGATAAAGCACTCCATTTTAAAACCCTATCGGTAATCAGCCTTCAAGATAAGTGTTTTTCTTTGTTTTGCTATTGATCACTAAAAGATAACTGGATATGCCTTTTACATTTGTAAATGTAGTCAATTTGAATGTTAATAATATTGGAAGAACATGTCGCCACACGTATTTAGGTCTTCATTTTTGTCAAAAGCGCATTCGCTAACAATATTCACCAATAGGTGGCTTCTTGGGTAAACGTTTAAGGCGAAAGAAGATTTATTATATCTCTCAATACAACTGTAACAATGAGGACGTTCTCGAAACGTCGAGATAATAAACGTATTATTCTTCTAATTCGATTCAATTTGTTTGTTTGTTATGGATTTTGCGCAAAGCTACACGAGGGCTATCTGCGCTAGCCGTCCCTAATTTAGCAGTGTAAGACTAGAGGGAAGGCAGCTAGTCGTTACCATCCACCGCCAACTCTTGTGCTACTCTTTTACCTACGAATAGTGGGATTGACCGTCACATTATAACGCCCCCACGGCTGAAAGGGCGAGCATGTTTGGTGGGATGGGGATTCAATTTGATTGGATTACATCTCATCCTAATCCAACCTCCGACGTCGCTACTTCTATTCTAAAGTTTCGCATTTACTGGTGTAAGCTGTTTAATTGTCGTCTTACTTGTCAAAGCTAGTTTTCAGCCCGTTTGTTTCTTTCAACGTAAAGCTACACAATTGGCTATCTGCGCCGTTTCTGCTGAGGGGATCGATCTCCGAATTTTGATCTCATAAGCCTCCTCCACGACTGATTTTTCAGCTGGTTCCAATAGATATGTTTTTAGTTAAAAGCAGGGCCGGGGGTGGTGGGGGGTGCTTGCCGTCTAATTTTAGATTTATATTAGATTCGGTCCCATTATATGTCTCAGCTAAGAAAAGCTGGAGCCGGGACTGGTAAGAAGAGATTCATTAGTAATGCGATCCAGTACTGGAAACCGATTACGTTACTATTTTTCAGCAGGAGCGTCAATTAGTGACTAAGAGGGCAACCCACATTTCCAACAGGAGGTTTGAAGAAAAAAAAACTTTTTCGTCGTACAGATTACAAGATAATAACAATGTTGATGTCATTATCGAATTAGTGTACACTAAAACAGAACGTCTGGACTATCAGTGAGCCAAGCCTCAGTCTCTTAACGAACTGAAACAGTGTTAGTATCATATTGTTTCTTCAAACATATCATTAGTTGTACTGTAGGCATGCGCAATTCCAGTACAGAATTGTGATTAGTTGTACTGTGGGCATGCGCAGTTGCAGTTTATTCTAAAGTACCAAGATATCAGGATAATGAAGAAATGTTTACACTTTTTTTTTGTTTTTCAAATATCCTAAGACACCAAGGGTCGTGGCATTAGTTTTTCTGTATTTGTTATTAAATACGGGGCTAAACAGTGGGTAATCTGTGAAAGCCGAATTATTTAAGCCACTGTAAGCTTTACAAGTGGTTACTTTCTTGTCAATAGTTGGACGTATTTGTTACTTTCTTGTCAATAGTTCGGTGTATTTGTTAAAATATATCGTAAGTGGTTGCTTTCTTATCAATAGTTGGACGTTTTTGTTACTTCCTTGTCAATAGTTCGGCGTATTTGTTACTTGCTTGTCAACAGTTCGGTGTATTTGTTTAAAATCTATTATAAATGGCTACTTTCTTGTCAATAATTAACATTTATCGACTTTTATATGTAATAGTTTACTGTTCTATGTTGATGCCAGGGAACTTTGAAAAGTGTGGGGAGAGAGAAAAAAATACTTTCAAAAAGAAATTAACTCTTTCCAGTTGTTCCCCATACTTTATTGTTTGACATTTATGCTTTTGGCCTTCAAATGTTATAATTTTTTTTTTCATTCCACTAGAAATATATTTTCGAGATGTGTGTGAGAATTATCTTTTTAGAGCCGAAGCATAAAATAATAAAAATAAGTGTGATTCGAAATTTGTAAAATTATAGGCATGATAAGGCAAAATAGTGTTAAAAAAGTTTTAAATATATATTTATATATGTATATCCAAATGGATTCTAGTGCGTCATATAGCTCCCCACATTTTTCCTAGGCTTCCCTGGATTTAGTTACATCCATCCACCACCTACGACAGACCGGCCACCCGCCACCCTTTATGCTGACCATTACACCACTACTCCAGCTCTCACCCCTATTACTAACATCACCCGATCCGAGCCCTCTTCCATAGCAATTAATAATAGTTACTTACCTAGGGATCATTATATACAACAACGACATACAGGTAAGTCATGGTTAACACAGTGTAAGTGAGTTCACTGTCTATCTCCATTGTAATTATCGTATTTTTTTACACTATTATTCGACTTATGGACTCCCCCTTGTCTTTGAAATGATTCGGACCACAGTTTCTCAGTCATGCGCATCTTGTTTTTCTTTTCTGTTGTTACTTGAAGCAGTAGAAATGTTGATTAATGAAGACTTGAAGATTTATTTTTAATGGCGTCTCTTGTGTTACTCGACTTTGAGAGCAGCTGGGATTTTTGTGTCTGATTTAAAACAAATCACTACGACGTTAAATCTCCAATATTTGGAATCGTTTGTCGCCCTCTTGTTTGTTTTGTTTGTTGTTGTTGTTTTATTTATTTCGCGCAAAGCTACACGAGGGCTATCTGAGCTAGCCGTCCCTAATTTAGCAGTGTAAGACTAGGGGGAAGGCAGCTAGTCATCACCGCCAGTCCCCCTTCTTTTCTTCATAATTTCAACTCCACGTGTGGATATATATATATTGTGATAATTTGCCTGAATTATGTTCTAACAGATATGTTAATTGTAAGCCTAAAAATATTATCTAGGTGTCGTAGCTTTACCATGTAACATATATATATCCCCAAATATAAAGAAAAGTCTTCTTGTTTTGTTCTAATATACAAGAAGTCTCTGAGGAACTAACAAAACGATGAGTAATGGTAGAATTAGATATTAATTCATCATCATTTGTAATGAGCTTATTGGTTCTCTTCTGTCCTTGCAAGCCTTCGCTAATTTCGTAGAACCCTAATTAATAAGTATTTACTGAACAGTAATTAAACTAATTATGTTTTTCCAAGCGACATTTAATTTCCATTTGTATATGTATATATACTGGTAACCGAGTTTGCTGCAGAGATTTTAATGATGCTGAAATTGACGGTGGCGCCATCTATATGTCAGACAGAGAGACAACAACGTGTAGTGTAATTCTACTGAAAAAGCTCGTCACCTCATCGTTTTTCTTGACTCTGACTGGAGGCTCGTCTCTTACTTGCTCCTCATTCCAGATTCCCTTGTGAGAGTCACTCAAACCAGCAAGCTCTTGGCTTATTTTCTAAACTCCTCCACAGCTGTGAGTTCAGCAGGAGTTCCTGTGACACGTGCTTATTTTTGGAATTCTTCTAAACCACGTGCCCTCCGTAGCTCTTAACGATGTCTTCTGTCTTGCAGCTGAAGAGCTGGCACTCTACTGAGGACGGCTTTAGAAGTACTTTCCTAGGTTACCGTGGTATATATATATATAAAGCGTTGATTTTTCCGGGATTTTGAAAGTGTGCAGGAAAACCTGAGTGTCTTAGTTCTCGGATCCCTCTAGTGACGCTCGTTATCGTCCTAGCCGAATAGCTACCTGAATTGCACGTTCCGCTAATCCTTGGTAAATTACTTGCGCTATTTAAGTGATGATAAACTAAATGAAAGTTACTACTTTATCGGTATTTGAAAGGTTGTGATTTTTTAATCTTCAAGTTTTAATTTTACAAAAAAAAAGATAATTAACAGAATCGGTTTTAACAACAACAAGCTTAATTTTTATGTCATCTCTCGCTTATTTCCTGGAAATGTCTAATCTTAACTCCTAGTTTTGATCATGTAAGGATTATAACAGTTCATAGCTTTAACCTTGATATTAATCCCTAGGTTTAATCAAGTAAGGGTTATAATAATACTTAACTTTAACCTTAATATTAACCTCTAGATTTGGTCACTTAAATTAATGTAGTAATGCTTAGTTTTAACTTTGATATTAATCCTTGGGTTTAATCAAGTAAGGGTTATAATAATACTTAACTTTAACCTTAATATTAACCTCTAGATTTGGTCACTTAAATTAATGTAGTAATGCTTAGTTTTTTTTCCTTCACTATTAAACCCAAGGATTAATATCAAAGTTAAGGTTATAATAATACTTAACTTTAACCTTAATATTAATCCTTACTTTTAATAATGTAAAGATACTTTACACTTACATATTGGAGAAATCAGCCATTTATGTCTTATCGTCCAGCCCTTACCGAAATATAGTGTTAGAATGATGTCATGTGTATTTTTTTTTGGGGGGGGGGGGTTACATTATAATAATTACGACAAATTAACACCAGTGTCTACAGCATGTATTACCATACCTGAATCAATAAAAATATTTGTTTCGTGAATGTGTGTCCTATCCTTTATGAATGTCTGTAATTATATGTAACCTAACGCGTCCTCTGTTAGTGGTTGTTAATTAATCCGTCCTATGTCTCTGTCCACAGTGGAACTAAATGGCCAGCAGACCTCAGCGCCTCTACTAACCCAAGCTTTATCAGGTACTGCAATGTAATATATATATATAATAATAATTGAATTAGTTCGTAATTGAATTGGTATTTTGGTTGCTACAGAATGTCAATGAATTGAAAGTTCTTTCTTTCTTTGTTTCTTTTTGAATTCGCGCAAAGCCACACGAGGGCTATCTGCGCTATCCGTCCCTAATTTAGCAGTGTAAGACTAGAGGGAGGGCAGCTAGTCATCACCACCTACCGTCAACTCTTGGGCTACTCTTTTACCAACGAATGGTGGGATTGACCGTCACATTATAACGCCCCCACGGCTGAAAGGGCGAGCATGTTTGGTGTGAGAGGGATTCGAACCCGCGAGTCGAGTGCCTTAACCACCTGGCCATGCCGGGCCAAATTGAAAATTCTAGAATATTTTATTAATTTTCGACGTATCCTCATGTCATCGTGATGTTTTTTCTCAGTACCTCCTAAGTCACAACTGGCTTTCTCAATTTAATAATCAGTCGTCAGTTCGTCGTAAGCAGAGTGTGAAGATCTTTTGAAACAAAATCATAGAAAAAGTATATAAATGAACACAAGCTGTTAGGGCCGTACTCAGAATTTGTCTAGACAAACACACACACACAGAGAGAAAAAGTTGTCACTGCCAGCACTCAGTTTGGTTTGTATTTGACATTTTGATTATTTTCCTCCCTTCTGGGAAAAAAATGAACTCTGATTGTATAAGAATTTCGATGGAGAAGCCCCCACATAACAAGAACACTTCAAAACACGATATAATTAATCATAATAATATTTGAAAAATATGTATGTGTGATATAAAATATATATATATACGATATAAATAAGGCATGGTTTAGAAAAAAAAAATATCTTTGCTCTTTCTTTCCCACCCTCTTTCTGTTTTTTTTTTCTTCTCTCTTTCTTTTATTTTGTTGTTGGAGCGGAAAAAAATGTCGGTGGTTACCCCGAAACCTCCTCCTCTGATATAGAGATAAACTGATAGTGTTCTCTCTTCAGTCAACAATCCTTGTGATATTAGTAAAAAGTAAAGGCCTGAAATGTATTTATTTAAACAAAATGAAATTGTTTTGCTTCTATAAGTCACTGAGAAGCTTATTTTACAAATCAAAAACCATGGCAACAGTTTTCCAGAACGAACAGGTAATGTTGAACAGTATAGTAGGCTTAGCAAGGAATCGTTATTGAGTTTATAATTTTTTACGAGTTGAACAGTCAGTTTCTATCTAAATTTCCGTAGTTTTTTTTTTTTCGTTTGGGTTTTCATTGCTCACTAGACCCCAAGCCTCGGTTTCATACAACTGTCCACCTAGAAACCATAAATGTTTTATCTCCCACTTGATAAGCCATCAGCACTTTAACGATTTATTTCTATAGCATGCTTCACAACAAATCCATCTTTAAACAGGAAAAACACAATTCTGTGTGTGTGAAGTCTTTTACGATCAAATAAAGTGAGGAAACACTGAAAACTGCAACGTTAGCAAAGCTTATCTATAAAAGGCTAAAATAAGTACTTAAAGTTAAATTTGAAATATCGTAAATCGTTTATATTAATTATATTAATTTTCGATACGATTAAAAAAATTATGTTTTATTGCCTTCTTTTTAAAGCCTTTGCGCTCGTCAAATATTTGTGTTTTACTCATCTCTCGTAAGAGGGCGCCTTTTGAAGTGTGTCGTGTAAAAATAGAAATCTCAGACTAATGTATATGTTGCTTTTGTTATAATGTTAAATGTGATCTTACTTACAGAAAGGTTTCGTATTTTTCTTTAATCTTACACTGGTTCGTAGAAACCATCATTTATCGTTTATTTTTTGCTTGTTCTGGTTCTTGCAACGTTCTCTTTTCTGTCATACTTTAGTGATAAATAACTATGGGCCCACGGGGTTTGCTCCGCCCACCTCCCCTGCCAACAACCGTGGGTTTCCTGCCACGAATAGTCCGGGACCGATTGACCTGTACAGTTCGAACCATGACACCATGGGATACGTCCAGGCCACTAGCCCTCAGCCATCTGGGTTTCCCCCTATCGCTGTCAGCAGGGTAAGTATGAAAACACAAAACGGTTTATAAGAGAAACAGTTTTAGTCAGAGTTTCTATGGGAAAAAAGTAAATACGTTCGGATAATGTTCGTGTTGTCGTGACTTCTGTGGTTCGTATAATTTTTGAACCATTTGTACATATTCTTATTTTTCTGTGCTGCAGCTGCGTCCACTGTGTTCCTCGACAAGTGACTTACACGACCCGAATTATTATCACATCTTTCAAACAAAATCCAACGAACTCAGTTACGTTCAAGGTAAGCCAAAATATATTAAACAATCTGCGCTGGAAAAACCAAAACACACCAATTTCTACTGAAGGTAACTCTGATTTATACCGAACTTTACTGTAGATAACCTTAACTTACCAAACTCTACTGAAGGTGACCTTAACTTACCAAACTCTACTGAAGGTAACCTTAACTTACCAAACTCTACTGAAGGTAACCTTAACTTACCAAACTCTACTGAAGATCAACTTGACTTACCAAACTCTACTGAAGGTAACCTTAACTTACCAAACTCTACTGAAGATCAACTTGACTTACCAAACTCTACTGGAGGTAACCTTAACTTACTAAACTCTACTGAAGGTAACCTTAACTTACTAAACTCTACTGAAGGTAACCTTAACTTACTAAACTCTACTGAAGGTGACCTTAACTTACCAAACTCTACTGAAGGTAACCTTAACTTACCAAACTCTACTGAAGATAAACTTGACTTTACACATATAATTATGTATATTGAACATGATATTCCAATCTCAACAGCGTTACAAGCTAAAAGGCCAGATGAGAGATCCAAGGGAGGTTCAGGCACAGCTGTCTAATTTAGAAAGTTGTCTAGATGGGTGAAAACCATCATTAGCATATGCTGCCTACACAGCTACTTTTAACCCTAACTTGATGACATACTAAGCAATACTGAAGGAAGATCATTTTGATGAACGAAACTTGTCATATGGTGGTGTTTATTAACAGTGGCTTACTTACTAATATATTTGGCCACAGTGAAGATAATCCATGCAGATTAGGATCATCCTGTGGTTTTATCAAAACAGCCGTACTAATCTGCTTTATTCACTTGATACACTAATAATAATAATACATATCAGTGGGATTTCTAGGATTTGTTATTTGAGGACATAAAGGGTCGGTTTGGAGGCAGAAGAATTTAACACTTTTGTGTCTGTGGAAGTCTCAATGTAGAGAATTAAAAAAAAACATGAAACTATATCTGAGATGTTAACTGTTAAGGGGCAGAGCTCCCTGATGGGGTTTGCCCCCCCACGCCTCCCCAATGGACACACTTTTTATCCATATGCATTGTAGCATATTATATATATATATATTGTAATCACATGAAAAATATTTCCAAAATAATTAAAAACGTGTAGTAAATTGAAAGAAATATAAAAGTATGGCAACCATACATGCAAGTGACAGAAAATACTGTTCCCATCAACTGGACTTCGTAAAAAAACTTCAGCCCTAATATGGGTTACGGTGTTTTAATGAATTATTGTTGTGCCAAATTGCATTATTTCTATTCAACTCCACTTTTGAGATCGATTCATGAAAAAAAAATGCTACACTGAATAAAATTCCACATCCCAACTTTTTAATTTTGTGTTTGACCCCGTGTTGTCGTCTGAGGTGCCTCTGGCATTCTGGGTATTTGTGTGTGACGTAATTCCTGTTTAGGTAGATTCAATAAAAACCACGCATAAGCTATAGTTTTAATATCTTAAATCAGATGTTTATTTGCTAGAAGGAGCTAATCGTGATGATGACGAAATGGTCTAGAAATTTCGCGTAGTAACTAGAAAACGAGAATGATATATAGTATTGATAATTTATTTAATGATTTTATCAGTTCAGTGTCTGTTAGTGACTTGGACAGTGAGAATTCTTACGCATATTTGTCTGCGATTCAATTAGACAGTGAGTTATTCATCGTGTTTGTTATCGATTATTAGCGAGGACATTCCGCAAATAGTATCGGAGTTTCTGTTAAAATGTTGTTTCTGAGGTTAGGCCTACAAGTGAACTTATCCTGTGGCAAGCGTTATTGAATAAATAAATTAATTCGTTATCGTTACGTGGTCTGAACTTGATATTATTTTTACCAAATAATCAAAGAACTTTCCCAAAGATAGCACACTTTACAACAATATATTTAATTGTTTATATTATTAAACTACTAAAGAAATCCCAAGACTTACTTTGTGAATAACAAGACTAATTTGATTTTCTTGCAGGGTCCTCTGATTGCAGCAGCTTTCACTAACGGATATCACTGAAGTTGACCAGCATTAGTAAGGTATAGTAGAGAAACTTAACAATTTGAATCTACGTTTACGGTTACTAACCAAAGTCCGATATCCCCGGTAGATTAACTTAGGTGAGGGTTGAGAAGTTCAAGCTTTAGAGACATTTATAGTATTTATTTTTATTTTTTCATAAATATACTTCACTCGTAGTGAACCCGATATTTTTTATACCACTCTTCTTTTGTTACAAAATTATTATTTATTTATTAGAGTAAGAAATACGATGCACCTGCTCGGTCTAAAGTATTAGCTACAAGCCCTAAACATACGCTCAAATTGTTAAGTTTTCATTTCGTAGTGCCATCTATGTTACAAAACTATTATTAATCTATTGGAGTAAGAAGTACGAAGCATCTTCTGGATATAAGGTAGATTGAAATTGTCAAGTTTCCCCCTATACCTTACTACTGCTTAGACAGCAGTCCATCACTGTAAGAGACATTTACTCTTGATTGAAGGGGGTGGGGAGAATCATCTAAAACCAACCTAATTCAGGAATATGGTCAAATCAAGAATAGACTGAACGACTCGTGTTTGTTTTCTGCCATAACTTATAATTTTGCGTTATGAGAATAAGAGTAATTTCGTTTTTGTTGTTTTTTTTAACAAAAGGGTTTGTTTGTCTGTCCTGTGGCGACTGCAGTTATCGAAATCCAGTTTTTAGCATTATAAGTTTTCATATAATTAAATAAAATAAACTAAATAGAAAACTAATGATTTATAAAGAAATGTAAATGAATAGTCATACTTAAAGGGTACACTTAGCAACACGAGATATAACATTCATAGTTGTTCACATACATTGTTACTTTTTTTTTCCGTTTCTCACAAATACGAAACTCATATCTGCCTTCTCTCAAACAGCTAGGATAAGTTGGATCCTCAGGGAAGAACAGAAAGATGCTGTGACTTCTGGTTTTCTGAATAAAATGGACTTTATGGACTATATATTGCACTTGTGTCTGGGTGAGCCTATGTTTAATATGATAATAAACTAAGATCCAGTAAAAGGCTAACCTGCTAATCTGTGGAGATCTTCAATGTAATTAAGAGTTGGAGGCTAGACGTGGAGCAGAAGGAAGGTGTTATTTTGTTGATTTTCCTTTGCTGGTGAAGTACTTACTCGATCAGAAGACTTGGATTCAAAGGCAAACTTTTTTTTTTCGGTTTTCGAAAAACATGGTTGATGTTGTAAAAATGTCTTGTTGAACTGATAACCAAGTAGGCCTATACTTCGAGGTCATCAGTTACTTTGATCGTTACTAATACTGTCTCCATAGTAACCACTCTGGGGGCTTTTGTTTGTTTCTTTGTCTAATTGTGATCCAGCCTGGTCTGATGTTATTTGGGATTGATAAAGTCCAGTTAATAAAATAAAAATAAAAAAGAGAGAGACTGTATACCTCTTTTTACTGTGAAATTTACATAATTCTAATCTTTTTGTGTGTGTGTGTATGTGTGTTTAACATTTGTTCTTTCACTATGTACCACATTATTAGGTAATACATCATTACAATAACAAGTGTGTGTTCTAATGAAAAGTTGGTAGTTAGGCCTCTCTTTCTTTATCTTTGTATTTTTTAACTTTGATCTTTTTACTTTTTTTTTTCGAGTATTTAACTCATATTTTTATGCAAATTTTCATACACTCGAAAAGTAGAAGCATAAAGTTTATGAAATAAACACAAAACCTTAATAACTAGCAATTGTAACAAATATAGACCTCTTTAGTTTGAAAACTGCTAGTTTAATCTGTGAACATTTATCAAGATAGAGTCAAATAATTTGTTTTACATATTGTAGTCCTATTAATACAACAAAGACTTATCTTATCCGATAGAAAATGCTTCATACAATATGCTAAATATTTAAAGATTTTTTTTAAAAATGAATTTCGAAGTTGTGTATTACGATATTTTCTTTAAACGTTATGGCTGAGTGCAAACCTCGTTTTCATCTACTCGGACTGCATCTTTGTAACCGCCTAAGTCTGGTGACGTAAGCCTAAAACTCGAGATACAAATGCAAAGACATTCGTATTTCAAATAATCTTTATTCAAAAATGATTTATTATCATTATGTTCGAAGCGCAGATCAGAGTATAATGTAGCTTGGTTGAACAAGTTTCATTAGAATTAGAGTTAAAACGGGTAAATCTTGTTATAGTATAGAAGAAAGATCCCGTCACTCCACGTTTTTCTTTTGAGCTTTAGAACGTTTTCTAACGCTATTTAAAATGAGATAGTGGTGTGCGTGTTGTGTGCGTTGTTTGTCTATATTTGATTCTGAACGTGTTAGAAGTATTTGAACGCTAACCGTATTGATTCTACTCGAGAAACAGTCGTTGCTTTTAAGTTTTTATCAGACTAGATTTATTGGTAATATTTGGCGCTTATTATTATTGTTCATTCATTGTATAATGTTGTTAGGTTAATCTAAGTGGATAGTCAATTTGGTCACCAGCAGTAATATGCTCGAGACGCGTTTTCAGTCGAGATCATGATCAACTACTGTTAGGCTTAACCAATTATTTGCATGAAGAATGTAATTGTCTGAACGTTCACCCTTCAACGGTTTAAAATGTTTTTTCGCAATCTGAAAGACAGCTGGATTTTTTTTAAGTGTTTTGATAAAATTTATTGTTTTTCAAGACAGAGATATTGTTCGAATAAGGCTCGTAAAAACGAATCGTTTTAAGTAAAATTTTAAAATATGTCGTTTTTTTTAATATCTTACAAGTGTCACTTTTCCTTTGGCCTCACAATTTCTCATAGTAGAATATTTGGGAGAAAAGTCTTGGCGTAGAACTTAGCTTTACTTTTTACGTTTATTTTCAAACATTTGAGGTATTAACTTTGTATAAAAAGGTAGTAAACAATATCATACTTTTCTCAAATAAACTATTTCAGCTCGAACTGAACTTTGTATAAATTGAACAAATCTGTTGTCAGTCCTTTTAGAGTAAAAATATAGACTAATGCACTATTTATGCTTTATCACGAGGCGTGAACAAGGCCACATGATTTAAAGAGAAAATAAATTTTGTTTTTGTTTTAAGTAAACTTTTTAATTTATACGTGTATATATATATATATATACTCCACGTAGGGGAATGTTGCTTTGAAATATTTAGTATAATTAGTTGTGTCTTATTTTCTTAAAAAAGAATTTTGTCATATTTTTTACTAATTACTTTTTTTTTCAAAGCTGTGTTTGCATTTAGTGTAACAAAACTAAAACATTTAATTTAGGTATACATGTGAAGTTAGGATGTAGATGTATTACATTTGTGACTAACGGTCTCTTTTGACAGATTTTTGAAACAACAAATGATATTTATAGCTTAATTAATGACGGAGTTTGACGAAACAAAAGGATAATTCGTCATTATGATATTGAATGTATTTAAAAGGTCAACAGGAATTATAATTAAATAAACGTATGTTTATTTATTAATTTTTAATCGTACATTCTGTTGGAAGATTCATTCACCCCATTGGTAAAATTATAAAAGCATTTGTTCATACCAAAATATATATAGTACATAAAGAGTTACCCTATTTTTGAAAGCAAAAATAAGTGATACTTCTTCAATCAGTAATAATAATAAAAAAACTTATTGGTGGCAATAATTAAATAAAATAATAATAATTTTGGTACTTTTAATATATATATATACTGGCTGAAATATATAATATGGAGATCTATAGTATTCAGTATACATAAAAATCGCTACATGGAAGATAAACGTTTTGTCAACGTTTCGGTCAAACAGCTTTTATCAAAATTTGGTCCGAAACATTGATCGCATTTTTTCATCTCAACACGGTTATTTTGATCATTTCATATTTTTCAAATATTACTGTGTTGTACTACAACTCTTCACTGTGTGAGTATCAAGTGCTATATGGTTTAATTATCTTTATATACAATCGCTTGTTTGATTTTATCTTGAATGGCTATTAAAGTTATCTTTTTGGATTCCTTATAACCTTGAATTATAAGAAATTATTAAGTGTTTCAATAATAATTTTCATGCCCTTCAGATATGTCATCAGCTTATTGTAAGAGTCACGAAGTTTTAAAATTAATTCGCGCTGTTTGCCAATAGTTTCACATCTCTGTTCGTATACCGTGAACACTTGTTGTTGAATGTGTTCTTCAGAAATATATTCATTGTTAAAACGTGTATTATGTATTCCCCCCCCCCCCGAAACTTGCAAGAGTGACCTCTATAAGATGCTTGTTTCGTGTTTCTCTTAAAGCAATATCTTTTAGCTTTTATACATTTAATCGGGGGTGAAATTCTGTCGGTACTCACCGGTACCGAGTACCGGAACTTATCACTAGAACCGGGTACTAATTATTTGAACTGCTTTGTCGTTTTTTTATATATATTTTTTTCTTTTTCAAAAACAGGTCCACATCACCCAGCTGAGTACCTCAACTTTTTTTTTTGAGAATTTCACCCCTGAATTTAATCCAGAAAATAATGTAATAGTTTTTTCACCATACGAAAGTTCTCTCCCCGTTTTAAAAACAGGCGAGAACGAATTTAGTTTTGTTAATTTTCTAATGAAATGTAAGCATGTTTTAAATTGTATCCTATTACGTGTTTTAATTCGAGATGTTTGTCGAAATATCAAGATGAAAGGTAAATATTAGTTGTGTTTCTTAAATGTAGCTTTTACTCTGTCGATTAACATTAAAATAAAGCTTTTAACCACAGGTCAGAAAAATCTTCAACGTCTTTATAAGTGGGATACTTCCTAATTTTTTTAATTATTGTAAATAAGTGTTGTCATATTTTTCTCGCGCTCATCGGAAAAAAAAAAATTGCCTTAAACAGTACCAATAATTAAACACATTTCGTATAGCAATAGGTCAAACGTTTGCCGCGAGTTATGCACTTATGCTACAGAGGCCTTGCTCTAACACGTTAATTGTGTATATTAACTTCAGTCAAGTTGTTGGCGACCATGTCTTTCCGTTAGCAGCGACACCTGTGTTGTATTACAACTGTATATTATCACTATCACGCAGCATTATCTATGCACGAGAGACAAACAATTTGTTGGAAAATTTTCACCTAGTAAGATACATTATTGTTTAATGTTGAATAATTTCTTCTCTCGTACAGTGTGTAGCATTGAAATATTGTTTGATTTTAGAAACCCGTAAAATTGTGCATAGAACTAGCTATAGTAATAGGTATATTTATACTTCAATGGTTTTTTTATTTATTTTTTACTATTGTTGTTTTCAGTAATTTCCGAATTGCAGAGACATCTATAAAACGAAACTAATATATAAAATAAAATGCAGATTAAACATTTAGGACTAATGGTTGCAACATAAAACGAACCAATCAAACAAGTTCGTTTCGCAACTGTATACAACGTGACGCATTTCAACCGTTATCTTATGATGTACTTATGATCGTAACAAAAGAGCGGACTGCTGACGTTTATAATAAGAATTGCTTAAGTTTCTTGGCTTGTTATAAACCTGAAAATACCTTTTAGGTTGATTAGCTGCTTGTTATTGTTTCTTCGGAGTGTTTGTAAAAATTCTTGAGAGTTGAGAGGAAACGAAAAAAAAAAAGAAAAAACATTGTATGCCCACACACGAACTTGTTGGTGCTCGATTTATTTTTAATTTTTGGCCTTTTATCGTTGACGTTTTTTATTATTATTGTCTTGTAATGTGTAGCTATAACTGTATTCTGTTTTTATGTTATACAAAAATGTTCACCGCATTTACTTTAAAGTAAAAAAAAAAATGTATTGACCTGTTTGATTGTGAAGAAAGTAATTTTTTGATCATGAAACTGCACTATGTATATGGTAATACTAATCATTTCAATATTATAACATATGAAAAATATGTGCGTTATGATTTGTGAATGTTGTGATTTATCATATTATTATTATAATGGTTTTTTATGAGGCAGTCAAGTATTGGAGACCAATGTCATATGTTCTCAAGAATGCTACTAACACACGTCGTATGAATGAATTAACGAAAAATATTCTAAGCCTATAATCTTAATTTAAAAACAATGCTGCAGTTAGCACCTGTCAGGGGAAGTTTAAACTTATAAATAAAACCAAAAATTACAATACAAGTTTTAAAAAAATGATGTATATTCATTTTGGATTTTAGAGGAAGTCTCACCAGATGGTGATTACGTAATTTATCCAAACCGTCAAACAACTGACCCCTCGTTTTTTAAGCAGGTCATGAATTAAATTGAGGTAAGATTTAAGAATTCAGAGTTCAGCTATGCATAAATTTACATCTTCATAGGAAGTTTCGGAATAATTTATGAATAAATTGTAAATGTATATATTGAGATCATTGACGTTGGTCCCAAGCTGGTTCAACAAAACTTGGCGAATACGTAATTGTGGGTAATTTATTTTTCCAAGAGTTTCGTATAACTCTTTTCAATTTTAAAGTGTACAGATGGCAGTTTTGTTTAAGCAACTTAATTTATTTGTTTAGAAGTTCATTACTGCAGACAATGTTGGTGTATTCCTCATCAGACACCTGGGACAAACCTAAACCAACTCTGGTTTTGTTGAACCATGTATGCTTATTGGATAAATTTGTACAGCACGTGAATAACGTATCTATAATATCAAACATGTAAAAATGATTGCATATGTTGCCCTAGTTAGAAATTTTGTAAATCTGTTGTGAGAATTATTATGTATGTTTTTCTACCCTTTAGAGAAATGAATATATATGTGTTCTTATGGTTCTAAACAATACTTGGTAATGTTTATTACTTGAAGTTTAAACATTTTTGTTGTTGTTTAATCTGGGACTTTTTCTCCCTTCATTTATTCGGGTTTCCATAGAACAGGCACTCACAGAACAACGACACAATGGAATTTTATGAACTATACTTATAAGTGCTCGTTTGTTTACTTTCATTGAAAAATTATAAATTTTTAATTTAGAAGTATCACTTTCCATTAGCTTAGGTTTAGTTTATTTCTTTTAAAAAATGCTCTGGAAAAAATTTAAAAAGTTATATATTTGGAAAATATTTTCCACTCAAGTGTTCTTGTAAAGTGGGAGCTTAGTCTCCCCCAATAATCCCTTTTTATCCCAGCCCCATTGTACACACTTGTCTATATGGTAAAAGTTTCTTGCTGTAAATTGCTCTGTTGTTTAATCAGTGGCTCACTGAATAAAGTTGTACTGTATAATACTTTTTCATTTGTCTTTGTTTTATATCCATTTATTTTTCAAATGTACGCCTCTTATTACTATTATTATTATATTTTAAATTTCGTATCAGTTGTCATTTGTCTCACCTTTTTGTGTTGGTTATGTGCCCGTGAACAATTTTGTGTTTGTTTAAGCCTCTAAGGTAACCGAAAAAGAAAAAAGAAAATAGTCAAAAGGTGAGATGAAACAGATAGATATATGTGTTCAAAATTATATAAAAGTAGCAACAGAAGAGCTGATTAATCGTGGTGAATTATTAGACCTCAAGTATAGACCAACTTAGGCTTCAGCCTAGGCCTAATTGAGTTTTCAGAAATAATTTTAAGCCTAACATAATAACTATTAATGCTACAATAATAAGTCCTTTCGTTCTTGTGGTTTTGACCCACTTCAGATTGAGACTGAACGAGTTATATGAAAACTTACAGACAAAACAAATAAATCTTATCAGCAATGGGTGATAATAACAAAACGTTTTACACATCTTTACTGTATGCTATTTCTTATATTGCAAACTCACGAAGCTCTGATACTGCTATTAACATATAAGAAAAATTAGCATAGTTTTTATTTTTCAGCAGTTACGAAAATCTGAAATAGTAATGTTAACTGCCTACTCAGAAATTCAAATAATAAAAAACAATGAAGTTTAAAAATAACTTGAGTTGCATGAAAAGCAAAAAAATAAAAATAAAAAAATCTTAAGATCCTAAAGTTGAAAAAGCACTATTAGTTATTCAGATCAAGGCCTAGCATGGCCTGGTAGCTAGGACGCTCAACTCGCAAATTGTGGGTCGCGGCTTCGAATCCTATCACCAGACATGCTTGTCTTTTCAGCCGTGTGGACGTTATAATG